GTTCTTCGCGGAAGGGAAAACTTTGACGAAGAATCCTTACGACTCTTTGACGAAGCAACAGAACTTCCACGAGGAGAATCAATCCAAGTTGAACGACAGGAAGGGCATTCACAGGAAACCGGTGGATTACAGCCAGTTAATCCTCTTGGAACAAGAGCAGTCCCGCTCGAGAGATCTATCTCGGACAGTACTACTCGACCAGATTATCCAGGAATCACACATAGCAGAAGGGACCAGCCACCCCACCTACCCAACGCGCCTGGAATCACACGTTCGGTTTCAACCGGATCAAGACCAACCGGTAGCTTCCAGTTCTCAGGAAGTATGGCCACACACGTACGATATGACCCGGCTCTCGGACCACCAGTCCATCCCGGAACTTGCACCGATGCCGTCTGGAACGATTACCAACAAGCGTTGGGACTCTATGCACAATATCAGGGAGCAATCCCCAAGCCGCCAGTGGCACGAGAAAAGAAGATGGGAAAAATCAAGGAGTTTAGAGGAGACAAGCGAGAATATGCATCGTTCCTCCGAAATGTGGAACGATACTTACAGGCAAATGCGGGAGTCTACAATGATGACTTCAGCAAAATTGCCTTCGTCCTCTCCCAAATCGACTCCTCATCCACGGCAGGAAAGTGGGCCGAGTCATGGGAAGCCAACCAAATGGCAAAACACGGCAATCTTGGGACGTACCAGGATTTTAAGACGACGCTTACCGAAAAGTACGGAGGTGTCGCAACCAAGGACCAAGCCTGGCAAGTACTTCTCGAAGGAAAGTACAAGCAGGACAAGCAAACCGTCGACGAGTATATTGGAAATCTCGATATCCTCTACCGATATGCCGAAATCGACGACGAATACGCCAAGCTCATCCACTTCAAGCGAGGCCTTAATGAGAAACTTGCAGAGAAAGTCTTCATCACGGAAAATCCGCCGACAACCTATGCAGGAGCATGCAAAGCTGCAAGAAAGGTCACGGATCTCCAGGACATTCATAGCGGAAAGACAAATATCTTCAAGTTCATCTCAGGCTCTTCAGGAAGCGGAAGAAGGACGGAGAAGGACCCTGACGCAATGGACGTTGACCGGATCTCCCCAGAAACTCATAAGAAACGTTCTGTGGATGGACTCTGCTACAACTGCGGAAAGCCAGGACATGTCGCCGCACAATGCCCGAATGCAGAATATGATCCGGCACCAAATCGCTCAGGAAAGACAACTTCATATGCCAAGACCAAGACGTCCAATTCCAGGACGAAGAAATACTCCGGATCTGGCAGACGAAGAAAGACTTCCAAGCCGACTAAATCTTACTCCAAGGGAACGGAGAAGAAACGACGACGAGTAAAAAGAGTCGAAGAAAGCGATTCTGAGGATAACTCGGAGGAGTCGGAACAGGAAGAATCAGAATCCTCATCATCGGAAGAATCAGAATCTGAGTCATCGGAATCTGAAGAAGTATCCGAACAAGAAACGGTTGTTCACAGGGTACGAAGAACTCGCCCTGTTAAAACCAAAACAGTTCGCAAAATCAGGCGAACCAAGGATGAATCCAGCGACTCAGAAGAAGAGTATGTGGTTCGAAGATTCATCCCCAAAGAAGAACTAGCCAGGATACGACGGGAAGATGCACTCAAAATGCGAGGAGACCGTATCAAGAAACGTAACATGACGATGCCCCATCTCGACGATCTTCTGGAATTCGGAGATAATCCAGATAGATATGAATATGCACGCCGATATCCACCACCCATGGAGAAAGAAGATCCAGAGGGTTTTGGAATTGGGTGCGCGTTGGGATCTCGTGGCATCCAGACAAAGAAACGGTCCCCGAGGAAGTAATCATACGAGGCGATATCAAACGAGGAAGCGAGATATACCTCAATATCGTCTTCCAAGATTACGATGGCATAAGAACCCGAAGTATTCCCGCAAGAGCCTTAGTCGATTCTGGAGCAAAAGGAATGTTCATCAATGAATCGTTTGCGAAGAAAGCAGGACTTCATCTTCTCAAATCGCAGAAGGAAGTCAAGATTCGCAGTGTCGATGGAAGCCCCATCAACTCTACAAACCAACGGTTCAAAGGAACTGTTCGTGCAGGAACGTACGAATGGAACGATGACTTCCTTGTCATCGACTTAGGAAAAGAAGACGTGATCATTGGCAATACATGGCTTCATGATCACAACCCAATTATCAATTGGCAGACAGGCGAAGTCAAGGTCCGTCAATACGTAGAAGACGTACCGGACGAGGAACCATGGCCTTTCAAAAACGAAGACGCTGTTCGTCTTCCAATTACCAAAAAGGAGAAAGCCAAAGCCAAGCGAACCTTGAGAAGGATCGACTGGTCTGATGTCGATCCCATACCAGACGAAGCAGGAACCGTTGACTCGGACCTCTTGCTTGCATACATAAAAGGCGCACCATACTTGGAGAATCAGGAAATAGGAGAAAAAGAAGCTATATTCGCCTATCAACCTGATACTGGCATACTCCAAGAAGTTACGCTCGAAGAAAAAGAACATCGCTCGACCGGAGAAAGGAAGATGCAGTATCTTGCACTGCGACGAACGAATGCCAAGAAAGATCTCCATCAAACAAGAAAGAAAGATGGAATCTTATGGAAGGCATCCAACAAGGCGCAAGAACTCGCACAAAAGAAAGCACTTGAGGAGAAGAAGAATTCCAAGAAGAAAGTGGCGATACCATCGTATCTTCTCAAGTACAAGCGAATTTTCGAAGAAAAGGCATCAGAACGGTTACCACCGCATAGATCCTACGATCACAACATAGACTTCAAGCCGGACTTTGTTCCTAAACGAGGAAAGGTCTATAACCTATCAAAGCCAGAAGAAGAAGCTAT